TTTTTCTTTTAAATGCAAGATCTTTTCAACAAAATAGTGTTTGTCATCAGTTTGGTACTAAACATTTATAATTACTGTGTAATTATAAACAAAAATACATAAAGCTTTGAATATAATTATGTAGCATAAAAGTTAAGGTTGTTCACTTGATGGCATCTTAGAATTAAACAAAGCTATTACTAGGGCTGAAAAGAGAACTGATTGAATGTATTGTGATTATTTTAAAGATAAATGTCTGATACAGGGAATATTTTGTACTAAAAATGCTTACACATGGGTACTGTGTGTGTGTGCGTGTGTGTGTGTGTAAGAGAGTATGTGAGTCTGTCTGTGAGAGGAAAACACACACACACAAACACATAACTTGAATTGCTTTAATTCCTAAGCATTTCAGTCTCCATTCCTGTCAACTCCCCATGCTGATTCTTTGTTTCGAGTTGAATCACAGTTTCCTTTTTGCTAAATGTCAGAACAGGTATACATTTTAAAATGTAATGCTTTTTAAATAGTAAAATGTAAAATGAGAAGTGCCCACATATAAAAATACTTGAGACCAAGGTTCTCTTTAGTGAATATCATCTGCATATCTCTGTAAGATCAGTTGTGTTCCTTACACTCCCTGTCATCCTCCCAACAGAGGCAATAAAAGCTTCAGTGAAATTGCCACAACTAAATCTTTTCACATATTATTTTAGTGTGTTACTTTTTTAAAAACTAAAATTACGTGAAAACTTTTCCAGGTCGAATAATTATTCGTGGAAAGAGCATTGTAATGGCAAGTCTCATGGAGAAAAGCTATGCCAAGTGTTATTTATTACATTTGAATTGTTTACACCTCTCCTGGCTGCTTTATTTAATTGACAGTACCATCGTTGCTTGTATGGTATTTTAAGCGTGTGCCTAACTTTTTTTGTTTTGGTACTGGGGATCGAACTCGGAACCTTGCACTTGCGAGGCAGGCAGTGGAACAGCGGAACCACTGAGCTAAATCCCCGGCCCTGTGCCTAACTTTTATTTATTTTTTATTTTATTTTTTTTGTTTTTGGTATTGGGGATCGAACTCGAGTCCTTGCGCTTGCACAGCAGGCGGTGGAACCACTGAGCTAAATCCCCAGCCCCTGTGCCTAACTTTTAATAAGAGAAAATAAATTTCTTCAAAAACATGGGAAATCTTTTATAGAATCTCTTCCTTGGGGAATTTTTGAGGAAGGTATGTCATTTTTTCCCCCTTAGTTTTAAGTGAAGTTTTTGTTTTGTTATTTTGAGACAGGGTCTCGCTACGTAGTTCAGGCTGGCCTTGAATTTGGGGTGATCCTCCTGCCTCAGCCTTCCAAGTGCTGAGATTACAGATGTGCCACCATGCATGACTCAAGTGAAGTGTTATTTTTAAAAACTTTATTTGATGATAAGTTTGAGTAGTAGTAGCTAGTTTAATGTGCACTTGCTTAGATTTTCAACGTGTTAGTATTAAGATTATGTATTGTAGGGCCCGAGATTTAGCCCAGTGTCACTGAGCCTGCCTCGAAAGCGCAAGGTCCTGAGCTTGATCCCTGGTAACTGAGCTAAATCCCCGGCCCCCTCAGCAGTTTTCTTTAAATGTTACCTTACATGGTTAACAATATATTTATATTGAGTACTTAGATGTTTTTGTAAGATTTCATTGAATTTGATAACGTAACCATAAAATGTTTTAAAATGTGAGCTATTTAACATATGTCCTAATAACTGAGGATACAAAACTTGAATTATAATTTCTGCATAATGTGATAAATAGGATTTAAATTATGGCTAATCATTTGGCTATAAATGAGTATATTTCTCAACTTTTTATGGCCTCCAGTTTTGCAGTTACAATACAGCAGTGATTTTTATTTCATAGAAATGTAGTAAAATTATTTATCGTGATATCTTTATCTTTGATTTATCAGGGAAAGAGGTTTATATTTTGTTAATTGTGATAAATTTGAAAATTCCTAAAAGTACAAATCTTTTCCTGGGATTTCCTTTATTTGTACCTGATTCTGGAGACAGAGCAGCTTTTTAAAAAAAACTCATAGGTCTTTCAGCATTCTTCCAATCTTGTTTTCTTAACTGTCTGTTGGAAAAGTGGCATTTCCTGCTGACCAAATCATTTATGTGATGACTTTCTGCCAAACTCAATGTTTTGTGATGATGTGGCTTTTGACTTCTCTTTGTTTGATTTTTTGTTGTTGTTGATTTTTAAGTCTCAGATTAAGGTACTCAGATTAAGTCTGTAGTACCAGGCTCTCGTGAGGCTGAGACGGGAGAATTGATTGCAAGTTCAAGACCAGCCTGGGCAATTTAGTGAGGCTCTGACTCCAAAAGGGTTAAGGGTGTAACTCAGTGGTTCGAGGGCTTGGCAGGGTCCTGGGTTCAATCAGCTCTATACATAACAAGAACAAGTCATACAGAAGGAAAATGAGATTTAAAAAGTATCTAGTCTTTGTAGCAAATAAAATACCTAAAAAGCAGTGTTTGTCTTTATGGAGCTTTAAAGGGAAATTATTTAAAGAGAATAATTTTGTAATTCTTTTTTTTTTTTTTTTGGTACTGGGGATCAAACTCAGGACCTTGCACTTGCAAGGCAGGCAGTGGAACCACTGAGCTAAATCCCCAGCCCTGGAAGTATTTTTAATCTAAATGTATCCCGTTTCTCATAAGCACTGCTTAAGTATTTGCAATTTTTTAATGGTTTGTGCTATGCTAAAATCTTAATGTAGCATGTAATTTATAGCACTGGCTTTAAAGCTGTAACCTGGGTCACTTTGGTCCATAGCAGGCAGATTGTCTTCCAGTTCATCTATGGCTTTTTACTTTAAAATGTGTTTTGGGGCCCAGTGATGTAGCTCAGCAGTGCCTCACCTGCCTTCCAAATGCAAGGTCCTAAGTTTGATTCTTGTCAGTAGCGGGGCTTGAATTCAGGGCTTCTAGCACACTAGGCAGACACTTCAGCTCAGCTGTCTTCCCAGCCCTATAGCTTTGTACTTTTTATCTGTTTTGGGTTGCCACTGTTTTGTATGAGATTTAATGAGGGGTTCCGGGGATTTAGCTCAGTGGTTCCGCCGCCTGCCCTGCAAGCGCAAGGACCCGAGTTCGGTCCCTGGTACCAAAAACAACAACCCCCCCCCCCCCCCCGCTCCCAAACACTTCCCAGAAATTGCATAAGACTCTTTTGGGCCAGGGATTTAGCTCAGTGGTTTCACGGCCTGCTGCGCAAGCGCAAGGACCTGAGTTCAATCCCCAGTACCAAGAAAAAAAAAATTTAATGAGGCCTTTTTTTTTCTTTTTTTAGTTATCAGGGATTGAACTCAGGACCTTGCACTTGCGAGGCAGGTGCGGCGCCACTGAGCTAAATCTCCAGCCCTAGGTTGCCTTTTGATAGTTGATTTTATATTTTGCAGAACTAGGGACCAAGCCTCGGCTCTGTCTGCTGAGCCACAGCCCCCCCCCCCACACCCTTGGTCGCAGTGGCGGTGGCAGCATCACCCCTTGGGCAAATCTGCCAGTGGAATCAAAGAAATGGGGTCTGACCAGAGTTACAGCCTACCTGAGCATAGAATTCAGCATAGCTTTGAAGATAGGAATCCATTAAATTCAAAGCAAATAATTTTGAAAGCAAAATTAATGAAAAAGTGATTTGAAAGAAGTTTTGGAAAATTACCAAGGACAGCTTAGTGGGCAAACAGGAAAGAATAGGAAAATACCTCCTTTACATTTAGAAAGTACGTGTCCAATTGCATGTTCGATGTAAGTACCAAAGGTCCATTTCAGGTTATGAGCTGTTCTGAGACAACTTTGTTGATTGGAAATTTGGGCAGTACCAAACGGGATTTTTACAAAAATACTGTAGGGTATATGGCTAGGCTAAAAAATAAGATGGCTAAAAGACAGTAGACAACATTTTTGTCATATAATTACATGGCTCATAACTGAAAGCAGTAATGGATGAATAAAATTTAGAGATGCTTTAAAGGCAGCATATTTAGTTTTGAAGCAAACACTAATGCTATTAATCCTAATAGCATATTAGGGTTCATTGTATTGAAATGACATGAAGTAAGTGGGCTGTCACCTAGAGCCTTAAAGTAGTTGTTCGTCAGACTTTGTTGTAATGGTACTTGTTTTGTTTTTGTTTTTTTTGAGGCAGGGTCTCTCTAGGTAGAACACACTGACCTTGAACTCACTATGTAGTCAGGCTGGCCTCAGGCTTGTGGTCTTCCTACCTCAGCCTCCTGAATGTTCAGATTACAGGTGTGCGCCACCATGCCTGGCTTTCTGTAATGGTGCTTTAAACTGAGGCTAGGGGATAGCTGTGTTAAAGCATGTGCCTACCGTGAATGAGGCCCTAGCTTCAATCCCCGATACAGAAAACAAAACTAAAATGGCTTTTAAATATAATTTATGCACCTATAAAATTCAGCCACGCAAATGTACAATATTGTAGTTTTAGCAAATTTTAGAGTTGTGTAATCATTGCATTCCAGTTTTAGCACATTTTCATCAGCCCAGCAATTCCTTTGAGCTCCTTTGTGGGTAGTTCTTGCTTCTATCCCCAGCCCTATGCTGCCCTATTGATCTGCTTTCTAGTATAAACTCTAGCTGTGATCTCAGTGCCCTAGGGGGCTGAGGCAGGAGGGTTCCAAGCTGGAACCCGGCCCGGACAATAATTTAGAAAGACCCTTTCTCAAAACAGAAAATTTAAAAAGCTGGAGATGTAACTCAAAGTGAAGGCTCAATCCTTGGTACCTAAAACAACCAGAAAAACCAAACTTAAGAATTTCACTTAAGTAGAATCGTGTACAGTGATACCTTGGCTGTCGAATGGCTCCAAGCTCGAAGTTTCCACTCCTCGAAAAATCTGTTTTCGAAACTGCTCCACAGTCAAACGGGAAATCTGACTTGCGAAACCTGACTGCGCAGAGGGAGCCGCGCTGCCAGCACCCTCTCCCAGATGCAGAGCCGCGCTGTCTGCGGCTTTGGTGCTGTATTTGTGTACAGTCACCAGGCTCCAAAGAAGGCGATACCAGCAGTAAGGCTAAGAGGAAAACCGTGAGAACCACGAGAGTTAAACCATTGCTACATCTGCTGAAGTCCTGGAAAATGAATTTATAAGTAAACGCTTCAGTTCTCGAACATGGCGGTGTTGGAAGGTGAATTTGGAGCAGAAGGAGCCGGACGGCTGGGGCAGCGCTGGAGTGCGGAGTCATGTTTGCGCGCGGGCTGCGTGGACTAAGGGTGCTTGCAACGGTCACACTTGCCTGTGTGGATGTACTTTCATCTCTGAGGTCCGTTCCTAGCAGTGGAATTTGGGTGGCATGGTAAATTTATATTTCATGTTTTTGAAAATGCTAAACTTCCAGAGTGGCTGTAATGTTTAGAAATATTCCCACAGAGTCTTATGTGATCTTTTTGAGATCAAATGTGTTAGGTGAAGCACAGTGCTGATGGCTGGTACTTTGGCAGCTATTACGTGTGTCCTGAGCAACCCGGTAAGCCTATGAATGGTAAGGTAGTTAATACTTTGCCCACATTACTGTGGACAGGTTGTCACTATCTCAATACATTTCCCAGATCGGTCACCTTTTGCACGTGAGGCCATCTTGCTGGCACTGTGGCATATTCCCCCTACCCCCTGATCTTTTGCTTTTGTGATAACATTGGGAATTAATGACTCCTTAAATTTATGAAAATGTAGTTGGAGCTAGGCATGCTGGAGGCAGAGGGAGGAGGACCAGCGGGAGGCCAGCCTGGGCTGCAGAGCAAAACAAAAGCTGCATGGGTATCGTTCAATGTTGCTGCAACTGGGGCTTTTATAAGCAGTAGACGTTGGAGTGCCGGGGCTCTTTTAAATGGAAAATTTCAGGCATAGACAAACAGAGAATAATATCAGGAACACATTTCATCGTGACTCAGGGCCAGTCTTGATGTATCTGTATCTCTCATCTTCTCCTCAACCTTGACTTATTTTGAAGCAAGTCCCAGAGAGCAAGTCATTTAATTTGTAAATATTTCAGTATGTATCTAGTATAATTATACTGGTAGACAGTCACAGTATACTGTAACTTGTAACCAGAATATATGAAGAATTGTTAGGGTTTAATAAGAGGACAACTCAGTTCACAAATGGGAAAGACCCAGGGGTGGTGGCACATGCCTGTGATTCTAGCACTTGGGAGGCTGAGGCAGGAAGACTGCTGAGAAATCAAGGCCACTCTGGGCTACATAGTGAGTGATACAAATACCAGTGATACAAATGAGCAAAGGATTTACATAGACATTTCTCTAAAGAAAGACCACAAATGGCCAATAAACACATGGAAAGATGCCCAGTGTTAGTCATTAGGGAAATACAGATCAGAACCATAATGAGATACCACCTTGTACTCACTCACTAGGTTGGCTTTAATCAGACAGACAGACATAATGACACAGTGAGGGTGTGGAGCTCACGGAGAAGCCAGTGGGTGTTACCTGGGGGAACGTGTGGTGTTGCTGATTTGAAAATGGACAGTTGCCAAAAGCTAAGCAATTAGCACTGTGACCTATCAGCTTTTCTTGGCATTTACTCAAAATTGAAACTTATGCTTACACATAAGTTCACAAACCTTGTACATAGATATTGTAGCACTATGCATAATAGCAAAAAAGTAGAAGCAATGCGAATGTCTGCTGTGACAGAGAACTTGGGTATCCACACAGTTACCTGGCCGTGAAAAGGCATGAAGTATTGGTGAGTGCTATGCCATGGCTGATCCTTGAAAACACCCGAAGTGAAGAGTCACAGAGGGCACTGTTGTGTGATTCCATTTATATGACATGTCCAGAACAAGCAAAACATACATACATACATGCATATGTATATATATATTTTGAAACAGGGTCTCGCTGTATAGTTCAGACACCTCGAACTCACTGTAGCCCAGGCTGGCCTCAAACTTACGGCGATCCTCCTGCCTCAGCCTCCCAAGTGCTGGGATCACAGGTGTGCACACCATAAGCAATCTGTAGAGAAGGACTAGTAGCTGGAGTGGAAGGTGGAGAAGGGAGCGACTGGTAAAGGGCTGATGGTGCCGCGGTGAAATTGGAGAAGGTGAGGGCCGCACACCGTAGCGAAATCACTGAATTGTGTGCCTCATGCAGTCTCACGGCATATGAATTATGTACCCATAATTTACTTTAAAAATAAGTGCAGGTGCACGTGTCTGAAAGGTATGATGGCTTCGCAGTCGGCACTCTGATGGTGTCCAGAAGCTGTGTGTTTCCGTTTTTCCTGGATTTGGAGACAGCTGATGGCGCGTGGGGTTGCTGCTTTGAGTCCCCTCTTCAAGATGTTCACCTCTGAGCACCTGGGATAGAAAGCTTGGTTGGAGGAGGGACGGTGCGCGTGGGTTTGCCAGAAACAGGAGTGCGGCGCGCGCAGGCGCTTCCGCAGAGGAGCTGTTCACAGGGCCCAGAGTGGCTCGCTGCCCAGCTGCGCCCGCCCTCCTTGCTGTCCCTCTGAGTAGCCAAGGGGACACGGTGGGCAGCTGTGGGACGCTCTTACACGTAGATAATGGCTTAAAATACTGACACCCTACACGGTGACCAAAATAATTTAGGAAGTCTGTTAAGATACCTCCCCCAAATGTATATATATTCCTTCCATTTTCAGTCCAGCCCTCCTTGCTTTCGCCTGTCACTTCCCATAGGACTGGAGCTCGACGCCGGGGAGGACCGCTGGCTTGGTTCCCCGGCTCTAGGCAGTCCCGTGTCTGTGTCTGGGAACTCACTTGAGCTCACGAGCTGTAGGGTCCTATTTATAACTCGAAAGACAGCATTTCAACAAATTAGTTAAATGATCTACTTGTCTCTCCTTTGCCCCGCATGAATCTGATAGCATCTCATCTACGAATAGTAACTATGCCCGGCCTGGCAGAACAGTGGGGTTTGATTAGGAAACTCCAATGAACAGGAACGAGGAAACATCATACAAAAAGCAGATCGGTTAACTTCACGCTGTTTCAGGTTACTTTCCTTATGAGGGTTAAAGCAGAGATTTCCTGCTGATGTCGGCAGAAACTGGCCTGTTAGGGCTTTGGCTCTTGCACGCATCTCTCCTGATGGCTCAGAAGCTGGGATAAACAACTTCACTTTGTTAGGTGACCTAGAACAGTTGCCTGAGTGACTCTATTTAGGGTTAGTGTGTGAGAGCCGACTGCAGAAGCTTGTTCATCCCCCATCTGTTTTACCTGACAGAACTTGAGGAGTGTTCCTTCTACAAGTGAAAGGCAACGTTTTCATGTCAGAAGATTTTCTATTTCCCTCATGGAGAAAGACTGGAAGTTACTTTAAAATATTTTCTGAAGTTAATTATGCATTACACCAGATCTTTCCAGAGAAACGATTTTATTTGTATGGGTCCTGCAGAGTGAAAGATCCCAGTACATTTAACTTGTTTTGGAAAATGTCTTTTTAGCCAGGCAGAGGCAAGGAGCTCTCCCCGCCCATGCTGGGCCAGGGCTTTCAGGCTCGCTCCGCGTGTCTCACAGGGAAAAGTTTGAGACCCAGGTAATTCACTAGCCTCGAAGAGCTCTGGCTGACCAGGTCTCCTCCGATGGCTGTGTACCGTCCATCTCCCTGGTGCCAAGGGCATCTCTGAGTAACATTCACCCCGCATCCAGCCTCTGTTTGGTGAGCATGTGGACTCTGTTCAGTTTGAAGAAGTCAGAAAATGACAATCCATCCCAGGCGGGGGAGACCTTTTTTGCAAATGTCATCCTGGGTGAGACAGGCTGGGTCCAAGTCTTACAGGTAGTTGTCAGGATTGCTGGTCTCTATTGTCTGAGCCTTTCTCCTGACTCCTGAGAGGTAGGATGCACCAGTACTTTGTAGGTAATGCTATTAGAAGAATTTTGATTCCACAAAGGACCTCATCTGCTTGGTTCGGTTTTGTTAGTTAAAAAAAACACACCCATTTTTATATTCAGAGCCCCTTGCAGATGTTAATTCAAATGCTTAGAGTACAGTGTCCCCATTGTGTTATAGGATGTTTTAAAAATAGATCAAGATTCTGAATCAAGTCCTTCATTAGGTTTAGTTCTTTTTTTTTTTTTTTGGTACCAGGGATCGACTTGGGACCTTGTGCTTGTGAGGCAGGCGGTGGAAACACTGAGCTAAATCCTCGGCCCTACTTTTGTTTATTAAAATAAAGTCCCATTTTTCCTGCACCATTTGTTGAAAAGACCTTCTTCCACATTTAATTATATGAGTACCTTTGTCAAAAACCAATAGCCCAGAAGCCAGGCGTGGTGGAGCACATCTGTAATCTCAGGACTTGGGAGGCTGAGGCAGGAGGATCGCCATGAGTTTGAGGTCAGCCTGGGCTCCATAGTGAGTTCAAGGCCAGCCTGAACTACATAGTGAAACCCTGTCTCAAAAAAAAAAAAAAAACCCCAAACAACCAATACCCCATATACATGTGCTTTACTCTGGATTTGCTTCTGTTCCATGATTTTGTCAAGTAAAAAACAAATACTCAGGCCGGGGATTTAGCTCAGTGGTTTCACTGCCTGCTGCACAAGCGCAAGGACCTGAGTTCAATCCCTGGTACCAAAAAACAAACAAAGAAACAAAAAAACTCTGAAGAATGATATTTGTTTGGGAACAGCAGAATACTGCAGTACAAGTACCATACTGCCATATCATACCATTGCCATAGTAAATGATAGGCATATTTGAAGAGGTTGGGCCAGGGAGAAGTTGATTTTTTGTTTGTTTTTCAACACAGGGCCTTGCTATGTAGTGCAGGAGAGCTGTGAGCTCATGATTTTCCTGGCTCAGCCTCCTGAGTGCTGATTTTGCTGCTGCAGATATGCCTCACAGCAACTAGCACAGTAGCATTTTTAAAAATAAAAATGAGCCGGGCGTGGTGGAGCATACACCTGTAATCCTAGCACTCAGGAGGCTGAGGCAGGAGGATCACTTTCAATTCAAGGCCAGCCTGAACTACCTTGTTTAAAAAAAACAAAACATCACCAACAAAAACATGAAAACAAAAATGAGCAAAATTACATTAGATGCAATATTTGATACAATAATTCTCAAGCACAACGATGACTAGCCAGTGTGTCTGTCTGAGGTTGGGCAGATGTCCTCATGGAAGTACTTTTTGCTTAAGGTTTCTGTGGTGCTGGTGCAAGCTTGCGGTTCGGGCAGTC